TCTTCCTTAGCCTAGTGGTGTCATGAATTACAGTTATTGTTTTTTAAACATTGAACCAGTCTTATATACCTGGGATAAATTCTACTTAGTCGTGGTGTATAATTCTTTTTATACATTGTTGGATTCAAATTGCTAATATTTTGTTGAGGATTTTTGCATTTGTGTTCATGAGAGATATTAGTCTGTAGTTTTCTTTCCTTGGAATGTCTTCGTCAGTTTTGGTACTAGGTAATGCTGGTCTCCTAAAATGAGTCAGGGTATATTCCTGCCACTTCTAGCTTGTGAGAGATTGTAGAGAACTGGTATAATTTTTTCCTTAAATATTTGGTAGAATTCATCATTAAACCCATCTGGGCCTGGTACTTTCTGTTTTGGAAGGTTATTAATTTTTGATTCAATGTCTCTAATAGATATAGGCCTATTCGGATTGTCTATTTCTTGTGAGTTTTGAGAGATTATATATTTGAAGATATTGGTCTATCCAGCATGATTTTTGAAAATACTATTCTATCACCACTGATTTATCTTGGAGCCTTTGTTGAAAATCAGCTGAATATATATGAGAACACAGGCCACATTGTCTTGATTACTGGAATTTTATAGTAAGTGTTAAAATAAGGCAGTTTAAGTTCTCCAACCTTTTGTTTTTCAAAATTATTTTGGCTACACTAGGTCACTTTGCATTTCAATATAGATTTTAGGATCAGCTTATAAATTTTTTCCAAACGACTGCTAGAATTTTAATTAGGATTACGTTGAATCTCTGGACCAATTTAGAAAGAACTGACATCATAACAACATTAAGTTTTCCAATCCATAAGCACGCTATATCTCTCCATTTATTTATTACACCCTCTCACCTAGTTCCCTCTAGTATTAGTACCTCACATTAGTATGCTATACATGTTACATTTAATGAGCAAATACTGATACGTTATTATCTAAAATCCATAATCGTTTTTATTTTATCTAATATCTTTTTCTGTCTCAGGATTGCATCCAGGATATCACATTATATTTATTCGTCAGGTCCCCATAAGCTCTCCTTGGCTGTGACAGTTTCTCACTTTCCTTGTTTTTGACGACCTCAACAATTTTGAGAGTTATTGGTCAAATATTTTATAGGATGCCCCTCTATTGAAATTTGCCTGTTCCTTTTCTTAAGAATAGACTAAGGTTATGGGTGTGGGGGAAGATGACAGAGAAGTGTCATTTTCATCATATCATATAAAGGGTATATATGATGGCACATTTGGTCATATTTTTATGTCTTTTATTGCTTCATGCAAATCACTAGAAATGGATTTTTTGAGTAAAAGTGTATTATAAAAACTAGTATTCTTGATGAAGTTTGCTAAACTGTTTTACAAAAGGGTTCCACTGATTTTCATACCCACCGAAAATGGATACATTGCAATTTCTTCCCATAAATCCTTACTAGCATTCTCTTTATTTTTCCTGAACTCCATTATGCCCGCATAACCTTGGATGGGATAGTTTAATTGATGACAGGCTAAAATCATCACACAATTAACAGTGGGTTCTTGTTAAGTAAAAAGTATCCAAACCGGCCTTCCAAGCTATGACTTTAACCTTTCCTTTCAGTTTTACCTAACACTACTCCCTTATACCTACTACTTACTCCAGCCAAACTAGCCAGGTGTTGCTCCCTGAAGATATCAACAGTCTGCCTTGTTGATGACCTGTACTCTGCATGGAATGTTATTCTATACACATCTCTGCCTGCCAAAATCCTAGCATACTTTAAGGTTCCTTTCAAATGATATAATCATCTTGAAGCCTATTTTGAGTCCCAAATTAAATAAGATGTCTTCTCTATGTGAACATGTAATATTTAATACATTTGTTAAGACATTTTGCTTCCAATTTCTCTTCATAGATAATACACATAATTATATATTGACTTTTTCAGTCTGTATTTCATTAAGTAATATATAATGATAAGTGATAAGCACATTTTTCTAACCAAGAACCTTAGGAGATAGTTCACTGAAACCATAGTTCTCCCTTACACAAAAATAATATTGAACCATTAAGATAGAATATTTTTCAATTATTTTAATAAAATATTTACCCTTATAAAATACAAGCTTTTA